GCGCCTCGAATCTGGGTCCAATCTGATCAACTGGTGTAGATAGGATCTGGTCACGTTTGCTCAAGCTTGGCTCCCTGCAGCTAAATGCGAAATATTTGGCGCACATACATTCGCTCATTTAACCCGCGCCCTGCTGGGGGGGGGGGGGGGGTGTTTGAACACCCCTCCTTGTGATTTTTCGCGAATATCTAAAAAAACGGCGGAGCGCCGCCATTTTTAGTACACCTTATCATACATCAATTCTACACATGTTGTGAAAATTTCAGACCAAGGTCATTCAAGGTCAGGTCACCAGGTCACTTGAAGTGACCTCACCTCATAAAAAGTTTCAATGTCTGTCATAGCTACACCGAGTGACCGATCGCTTTGAAACTTTCAGCGATTGCTAAGAGCAATAGCATGTACAAAATGTATATCTCAGAATTTTGATATCGATGACCTAAGGTCAGGTCAATTTTGCGACCTCCCCATTATAAGTCAATGGGAGAAAATTGAAATGCGCCTCTTTTGGACGAAAGACATTATAAACACTCCCAAACGCCGAATTACAAGTGGTTTAGACACACTGAACATGAAAATGGTGTCCGTGACCCTTGTTTGTGCCCTGAGGTCATTTTAGGCCACGAATGGTATCTAACAGTTTTTCGCAAATAACTTTTGATAGAGGCATGCTAGAGCGATGAAAACGCCTTAGATGTGTTCAGCTCGACGATACGGATCGACTGATATGCAACATGACCCTTTCCGGTCAGGTCATGACCTTGACCTGAGGTCAAATTTTCAAGTTGACCTTTCAAGGTCAAGTTATAGTTCATTCGATGCGTCTTGACGAGAGGAACACGATGCCGGTGAAAGTAAGCTCGTACAGGGCTTGGATCAAAAGTTATTGCAGAAAAACTGTTTCCGAAAAAATCGGCTATTTTTGCAGTTTTTGCCCCCTGCAGGCAAAACCGTTGACGTTAGGTGAAATCTGAGAGAATTACTCAGAAAGGGCGTTAATAGGGCTATCGAATGCACTTTTCCGCGGCGCTGTAGCTCTATTGGTTCCCGAGTTATGCGTTGGTTGGCTTCTTGGAAATTTTCGACATTCGACCTGGAAATCGGCGAAATTTTGCCTTCAATGACCTCTGGTGACCTGACCTTTGACCTGACCAAAAAATTGACCGAAGTGATTTCGTCATTATTTTTTACGCTCTTTCGAACGCCGCCTTCCGCGTATCGCTACGTGGCCCAGGAGCCGAGTTACAAGGGGGTGTTCAAACACCCCCCCCCCAGCAGGGCGTAGAAATCCAGGACCCCCAGCCGGGCGCGGGTTAATTTAGCTTTAGCAGGAATCGGTTCATTGGCGCAGGGACGTTCAATCGGTGAAATAGGTCCAGATTTTAACGATTTGTGTGGATAAGTTATTCACTTATGCTTTGAAGAAGATAGAAAACGTCATAAATGTGTCTGAATAATTGTAATGCTAATGTAAGGCATCATCATTGTAGTACTTCGGCATTTGTCAGCGTGATTTGCTGTATCCTATTCCTCATACCTATTTTTATTTCAGTTGAGACGGAAGCACGATTAATTGTTCTTCGATTACCATGGGCAGGTTGATTGATGGTCATGAAATAAGTTGTCACTACGGAATCGAGTGATCGCATGCTACGAGGAGGAGTCATGTCAAATAACTCTGCAGTCGTTTGCGAGTGTCACCAACGATGCAAAGCGTCTGCGAGCGTCGCCTCAGGTAACCGCGTGAGCGTCTGCGAGCGTCACGTAACTCTGAGAGCGTCTGCGAGCGGCACGTAACTCTGCGAGCGTCTGCGAGCGTCACGTAACTCTGCGAGCGTCTGCGAGCGTCGCGTAGCTCTGCGAGCGTTTGCGAGTGTCACGACCCAGTGACGGGGCTCTCACGGCAGTCGGAGCAGCCGCCAAGTGTCACGCCTCACCTGCGATCAGATTGCATACACAGATGACAATACCGTCCCTGTGGAGAGGCCAGTGGGCGCTGAAGCAACTCAGATGAGTGGTGCCGCCATGGAGCGTTTTTTTTTTTGTGTTCGGTGCTGCAAATATGCCATTAGTTGAAGTGTAATAATTAGTTGACGTGGTACCTTGCACTGGTACGCTTGATGATGACGAGTCAGAGTATGCTGTACTGTAATAAGCCGTAATGCCATTTTTGTCCCGGTTGAATAAACAAAGAGAGCACTCCCTGTAGTTGTTTAATGCTATTGCGCTTATGATTGTACGCATCATACATACCGTAAAGTGGGGCTATTTGAGACAGTGGGGCTATTTGAGACAGTAAGGTAATGGTATAGTAAAATCGCTGTAAAATGAAAACCGTTTGATGTTTTTTTCGTCATTTTTGCTTAAGCTGATGTGGAATTGAACAATGAATGCTCTGAATAACCTTTTTGAAAATTTTGAAAAGTTCTGAAAGAAATTTGCAATAAAATACGAAATACAGAAAAACGCACAATTTAAGTTGCTCGAAAAGGACCCCTACCTGCAGCTTAAAAAAGTTGAAGTTTTAACAGCTTCGCCACTGTATCTATCGCTACTACGTTTTTGCTTATAGGTTAAGCACATTTTTCATGAAAATATTATATATTGTTAACGGTACTGCCGATTGCGTAACCCATTGTCTCAGAATCCCGATGATGCCCACCTGGTCAAACCTCAACGGATATGCCAAATAGCTGATGATAACGGTGATGCGATGCACCCGAGAAGACTTACCGCCATCTACCTGAAGTGCATCGAACGCTCGACATAAGCAACACCGGTGAATCGGTCGTGGTCATAAACGTGCAGTGGGTTCATGGTAGGTACTTTTAGCAGCAAGCAATATTTACATGTTCGTAGTGTAACATAATAACCCTTTAGCTGGTGACCAAACTAGTTATTCTGATGAATATGTGCTTAAAATGTGCTTCATCAGTCACTGACTCATTCGACAATCAACATATGTCTACCTTGGTTGACCAAAAAACACCATCGAATGTTACTTAACACATCAACGTACTGTTAGGTGAGCCTATGCAAGTACTTGATGTGGTAGGGTAACCGGCCAATTGATACGGCATGCAGCGATCGAGGAAAATCGGCATAAAATCAAAACCGTTTAACATTTTTCTGTTATTTCTTCGCATGGAGATGTACAATGGAACAAACAATCATGCAGACCATTCACTCAAATGTTTTGGGAAACCTTTTGCCTAGTGTTTGATTCATTACAGTGTGCTTCATAAGGTAGCGAGACTGTCTCAAATAGCCCCACCGACTTACGGTATATCTGTTTTCACGTCACCGGGGCTATATACAAAAACTTACTTTCAAAATTTTACTGTCGATGACTTTGAAATAGTCCTTGATGATCATCCTGTCAGTTTGAAAGCTATGGGTCACATCATATTATGATAGCCTTAGCATATAGTGATGCAATTTTATACCCTACCGAAATGAAGTGTCCTACGAAAAAGGAAAAGATTGAATATAAAGGTCATATAACAGTCTTTGAAAAAACAATTTTTGCCAAAATGATCAAAATTCAATTTCCAAATGCATGGCGTTTACAAAATTATCTCTAGCGTGACCGATTTTCTTTAAATTCCTTGCAACTAAAACTGTCTCAAATAGCCCCACCCTATGGGGCTATTTGAGACAGGCTTTAACATAAAAAATAACCTCAGTCATTATTACTAGCTGAACCAAAATACACCTATATGAAAGAGCGCACAGAGAACTACATTTTTGCAATTTACATGCTATAAGAAATATGAGCCGTCTTAACCCATTTACGCCCTTCGTTGCGTTTTCGCAACGCAAGCAAGCGTCGACGTGATCGAAGCTTGAGAAGTGTGTAAAAGAGACTAACCGATGAGACAAGTTTCAGCGTATGTAGCATGGTTGTGCGCATGATACTACGCAGTTACAAGTCTGTGCGGCCGGTAAGTTACCGCCTAGAGCTCCCAGAGGGAAGTCGAAGGTTTTGTGAGTGATGACGTCACGAAAACCAAGATAAGTAGGCTAAGTGCTTAATAATATCGTAATGAAAATTGTGTAAACATATTCTGCAGAGTCCCTACAGTAGCGTAGATATGCATTTTGTTAAGAAATAATGCTACAAAAAGGGTTTGTGACTATTTTCAAATATGACTACGGTCGCGTTGCGGGAACGCAACGAAGGGCACATCGGAAAGACAGCGGTGTTGCGAAAACGCAACGATGGGCACATTGGCAGGGTAGCGGAAGTATGAATATCAACAGTAGACTTCACTCGTGATACGCTGTGGGTTCTCTCTTTCTCTCCCCCATCTTCCTCCCTCTCCTCCTCGTTCCCCAACTCTGTCCCCTCTCTCTCTCTCTCTCTCTCTCTTTCTCTCTCTCTCTCTCTTTCTTTCTCTCTCTCATTTTGTAGCCATGAGGCTGTAGCTGCGGAACATCTTCAATTAAGGGGGGGAGCTGTGTCGGCGGTTGCTGTGGTATCGAATGTGACTGTAGTATGTGAGTCAGGCATTGCAGCGTGCCCTGTGAGCCCGCCGCGGCGTCGGCGAACAATGGGGCCGGGTCGTCTTCTTCACTTGACACCCGCCGCTGAGTGATGGCCGCCGCCGCGACGGGCTGGTGTGGTGAGTGTGCCGGCCAGCCAGTCCTGCTCTGGCTGGCCGGCCGCGCGGTCCATATATACAGTCTACACGTGGTTGTTCCCGTTTTACTTTCTACAAGCTATTTCGGCCTTACACCAGAGTGAAGACGTCATGACGACGACAGCTTCCGCGTCAGAGACGGTGCTGACGTCAGTGACAGGGCCGGTGATGTCAGTCACCTGGCCGGCAGCAGCGGCGGCTGCCAGTCACCTCAGCAGTAGCGGCGCCCCCAGCCAGTCGCCTGGCCGTCAGCGGCCGGCGGCCCCAGTCGTTTTGCCGCCATTACCCTTCGACGTCCGCCTAATCCCCGAGTATGACGGCAGCACCGACGTCGTGGAGTGGTTTGGCCGGACTGAGATGCTGTGTCGGCTGCGTGGTGTGCCGGTGGAGTCAGTGCTGCCGCTGCGGCTCTCGGGCGGTGCGTTCGCTGTTTGGTCACAGCTGCCCGCCCACAGCCAGTCCTCGCTGGTGGCCGTCCGCGGCGCACTGTATGCAGCCTTCGCCCTTGACCAGCACGCAGCGTACGAAGCCTTCTCAGCACGGCGGCTGAGGCCGGGGGAGTCAGCTGACGTGTTTCTGGCCGACCTGCGGCGGTTGGCGGCCCTGTTCGGCGGACTGCCAGAGCGCGCGCTGACCTGCGCGTTCGTCGCGGGGCTGCCGGACGACGTCCGCCAGACCATTCGCGCCGGCTCAAAGGCTGAGGGACTGGACCTGACTACCATCGTGGTTCGCGCACGAGCCATTCTCAGCAGTGAGCGAGTCTCAGCGGCGGCAGTGCAGCAACGGGCCGTGGCACCGTCCCCCGACCAGCGTCCTGCCTCGCCGCGTAGTCGGCCTCGGCGCCCTCCGCGCCGCATGCGCTGCTGGGCTTGCGGGGAGCTCGGTCACATCGCGGCGAGGTGCCAGCAGCGATCGGGAAACGGAACCGGGGAGGACGGGTCAGCACCGCCGTCCTCTCCTGCGCAGCACTGAGCGGTGCGCTGCCCATCACGCGGCTGAGGGTGGAAGGCCGCGAGTGCAGCGTCCTGATTGACACCGGCAGCACGGAGAACATCATTTACGCTCCCCTCTGTACGCAGTGGAGACCGCGGCAGGTGCGCGTGACCACCATCAGTGGGGGTCAGCTGGAGTGCTGCGGTGTTGGCGCCGTGGTCGTGGAAGCGCCGACGGGCCACCGCGGCACACTCGAGACGGTGGTGGTGGAGAAGCGGCCTCTGGGAGTGGATATGGTCCTCGGGATCGCAGGCGTCTCTGCACTGGGTGGCGTGACCGTGCTCTCTCCATCTGAGGTCCGCTTTTGTGGAGCGGTGTGCAGTGAGCCACTGGGCGTGGATGCGCCGGACTTCCGTGTGTGCTTTGACTCGGCGGAGCGGAGATGGACCGTGGCCTGGAAATGGCGTGACGGCGAAGGTCCCGAGTGCCTGACGAACACTGTCGCCCAGTATACAGTGCCGTCAGCCGCACGCCGTGAATATGACGCGGAATTGGACGCATGGATCGCACAGGGCTGGCTAGTGCCGTACGATGAGGACCGCCATGGGGCGGCGAAGGGACTGGTGCCGCTGATGGCTGTGCAGCAGAGCAACAAGGCCAAAGTGCGCCCGGTAATGGATTACCGCGAGCTGAACGGTTTTGTATCGGCTCACACAGCCGATGCTGATGTGTGTGCGGATCAGCTCCGGAAGTGGCGCCGTCATGGCGCAAACGTGGCGGTGATAGACCTAAAGCGCGCCTACCTGCAAGTGCATGTAGAGGAGCGGCTCTGGCCGTACCAGACTGTGATGGTTCGAGGCCAGAGGTTTTGCCTGACACGCTTAGGTTTTGGCCTTAATACAGCCCCTCAGATAATGAAGGCCGTTGTGAGGTCCGTGCTGGAGCAGGACCCGGACGTACAGCGTGCCGTCCTTCCGTATGTGGACGATCTTCTGGTAAACGAAGACGTGCTGAGCGCAGACAGTGTGGTGGCGCACTTCGAGAAGTTCGGGCTGAACTGTAAGCCCCCAGAGCGGGCAGCCAGCGGAGCTCGGCTGCTGGGCCTGCGCGTCCAGGCAGAGGGCGGCAAACTGCAGTGGACTCGGGACAACGCGGTGGGAGCGCCGCCGGCACCTGTCACGCGCCGTGCCGTGTTCTCGTGGTGTGGGCGGCTGGTGGCACACCTGCCCGTGTGTGGATGGCTCAGGCCTGCGGTGGCCTGGCTCAAACGGCGTGTGAACCAGATGACTCGGGCGTGGGATGACGTCACCGATGACGCAGCGCTGCGTGCTCAGCTGGACTATGTTGCAGGCCGCTTGAATGGTGACGACCCAGCCCGCGGCACGTGGTGCGTTGAGGGTGACGCCATGGCTGTTTGGACGGACGCCAGCTCCCTGGCCACCGGAGTCGTGCTGGAGTCAGCGGACGGTGACGTCATCGAGGACGCGTGCTGGCTAAGACATAATGAGGCCACGCACATCAACATGGCCGAGCTGGACGCCGCCATCCGAGGCGTCAACCTGGCTGTCGCCTGGGGAGCGCGGACAATCGATCTCCGCACCGACTCGGCCACTGTTCATCGCTGGCTTGATGACGCCATCAGCGGCCGCGCGCGCCTCAGAACAAAGGCGCACGGTGAGCTGTTGATTCGGCGACGTGTGGGGATCATCTGTCAGCTGGTCGGTGAGCTGCAGCTACGACTGTCGGTGACGCTCGTGCGGTCGGCTGAGAACCGAGCTGACGCACTGACGCGAGTCCCCAAAGACTGGCTTCGTAACGTGAGTGTGACTCGAGAGTGCGAGTCTCCATCGCCCGGAGTCAGTGCGGCGGTCGTCTCCGAGCCGCCGCCTCTGGCCGGTGCCGCCGCTGGGCGTGCCGACGGCGGTACGGCGGACGAGCTCCGTGCAGCCGTGTGCCAGTCACACGATCGGGCCGGCCACCCCGGTGTCCGTCGGACATTGTACTTTGCCCGCCCTGATGTGTCGCGTGACGTCACCCGGGCTATGGCTCGTGCGGTGGTGGAGAACTGTGACGCGTGCCGCTCGATTGACCCGGCACCGGTGCGGTGGAGACATGGCTCGCTCGGCGTGTCTGTCCCGTGGCAGCGCATATCCATCGACGTCACCCATCACCGCGGACATAACTACCTCACCGTCATTGACTGTGGGCCATCGCGCTTCTGCGTATGGCGCTCGCTGCGTCGCGCCAACGCCATCGAGATTGTTGGCCACCTAGAGCAGCTATTTCTCGAGCGCGGAGCCCCTCATGAGGAGATCCTGACAGACAATGACACGGTGTTCCGTGGCCGTCATATGGCTGTGCTCGCGGCGCGGTGGAGAGTGGCTCTCAGATTCCGAGCTGTCCACGAGCCAGGCGGGAATGGTGTGGTGGAGCGGTGCCATCGGACAATCAAAGTCATCGCCGCGAGGCGCCAGTGTACCGTGGCCGAAGCGGTTCACATTTACAACGTGACCCCGCGCGATGGAGTGACGGCAGAGTCCGCCCCGGCATCCGGGGTGTATCAGTACACCGTGCGGGATTGTATTCGGTCCGCGCCGTCTGACGCCGCTGAAGCTAGCGAGCGGCACTCACTCGTGTCTGACGACCGGTGTCGTGTTAGGCCGCCGCTATCTGACGCCACGGAGGCTCTGGGGTCACCCCCACTTGTATCTGACGGGGCGCGTCTCAGAGTGGGGGACAGGGTGTGGGTGCGCCGACGTGGGACACGCTGCACAGATATGTCACGGCGCGGGACGGTGACGGGCTTGGTGTCGCGACAGGTAGTCGAGGTCGATGGGGTCCCATGGCACGTCAGAAACGTTCGTCACCGATGTGACCGGCAGGACAGCGACGGGGACAGTGACAGTGTCGATGACGGCGACGGGGACAGTGACAGTGTCGATGACGAGCCGCCATTGTACGTGGACTGTCACTGGGAGGCAACCGAGGACGGCGCTGACGCGGCTGTAGACAATGGAACCACCGTGCGTGCTGTGCCTGAGACATTGCAGCACACCACGGAGCAGACGGGGACTGAGCCCCCTGCAGCCGAGCCGGCTGTGGCTGAGCCTCCTGCAGCCGAGCCGGCTCAGGTCGAGCCGGTGCTGCTGCGGCGGAGCGCCCGCCTGCAGAGTCGGATGGTCCGTTAGTGGTGCGTGCGTACTGCAGTGTGGTCCACTGAAAATGTACTAGTATGATTCTTGAGTATCAGGTGGGAGTGTGTCGGCGGTTGCTGTGGTATCGAATGTGACTGTAGTATGTGAGTCAGGCATTGCAGCGTGCCCTGTGAGCCCGCCGCGGCGTCGGCGAACAATGGGGCCGGGTCGTCTTCTTCACTTGACACCCGCCGCTGAGTGATGGCCGCCGCCGCGACGGGCTGGTGTGGTGAGTGTGCCGGCCAGCCAGTCCTGCTCTGGCTGGCCGGCCGCGCGGTCCATATATACAGTCTACACGTGGTTGTTCCCGTTTTACTTTCTACAGGAGCACTGCTGACTTTTGGTCTCATTTTTTCCATTTCCATTTCCATGCAACGCCTATCGGGATAATGTTAAAATGGCAAAATCAAGGGGGCACGGTGCCCCGGTGCCCCCTCCCCCCGCTCCGCCGCCTATGCCATGAGGGACGTATATAGGTATGTTTAGGGCAAGGTGCGTTCGCACGTAAAATGTTGCGACACATTTCATATTTGCTGGCTCAAACAGCCACAAACACTCCTTTCTTTTTCTCTCGCAGATTTTCGGCCTCGGGCTGTTCGTTCACTAGGCAATGTGTTCCCATGCATCTGAAAATCGCATGGTAGGAAAAGGACCCATGCATCAAACGGTCGGCGATGCTAACGGAGCTGAGAGATAATTAGGTCCTTTGGAAATTGGATCTACTATGTACATTGTGCATAAATAATGAATAACGGGGATGTATTCTGGTATCAGGCGACAGATAGGCATCGCCATTCTCTGGATAGAATCTGCTGACTACCAGCATTTACGTTAGAAAAGATAACTGAGGGTCGGCAAATAGTGGGATAGGCCCCCTCTGAGGGTAGCTGAGCCCTTCGGCAGGGGTAATGAGGTCGGACCCATGGGAAAATAATAATTTTTAGGATTCATAACTCGCATAGATTCATAAGCTGCTTGATGTGCAGTATACGCCTGTTTTCTTACTTTGATAGGCTTTTTATCTAATCAGACCATTTTTAGAGCTAGCAGGATTATTGGAATTAGGGGAGACATTTGTCTGACCGGACACGGTCAATCGTAGACTGGAGACTGAGCCCAGCCAGTGGGCAGCCGCCACCCATGACCCACCCCCTTCCCCCCTCCCAACCACTCACTGCACCCGGCTACAGGCGCGCTCCTATGTGAGCTGCCCGATTGCGATATACGTTGCCGGTCCAGCCCGGAACAGGGGGATGAGGCGTGGAGGAGGATTCAACTATCCTGAAGATGGAAAGGACGGATTGACGTCGAATCACCATTCTGTCCAGGCATTGTCTCGAGAAAGAGGTTACACGTGAAGGTCGCTGGGAGTGGGGCCATGAAAATTTTGGATTAGGTGTAAACATGACCTGGGAGTCGATTTGTTGTGATGCGCTACGCCTTACGCGGGTAATTTGTTAGAGCCGGATTGGTCCTTTTTTCTTTTTGCTGAGAGTGGGTACGACTAACCTGCAATGGAATTTAACTTTACTCCTAGGAGGTTGGTTATAAATGATTGCGGATATACGCGCATACGAGAGGCACTGGTTTACTCCCAATCCTCCGTTTAATTGTATTCAGTGTGCACTGTGCAGGGTCTGATAGGTGGAGGTAATGGATCTGTCTAGCTTCCAAAAAGAAAGCATCACCCTGGATACGTTTCGACCACAACTTTAAATGAACAGCAATGGACAACGTAAATGGTTGATAATGACCGTGTTGCCATCTCCCCGTTCGCGAATCATGAAGTTATGCTTCCTCACTGAGGCTCTTAGGCGGGTTATAGAGCATGACGGATGTGGGTTCCGCATTTTCAAGCAATAGTTGTCAACAGTTGATTGATGTTTTGTCAAAACATATTAGCATATACGGCAGTTCAGTGTACTTTATGTCCGTCTGATGTGCCCGTCGTTGCGTTTTCGCAACGCTGATGGCGCCCGGTGTGCCCTTCGTTGCGATTTCGCAACGCATGTTTTTTACGTTTTTCTCGAGAAACTTTTGCTGCAGGCAAAAATTATTTTCGATTCCATACAAGGCCCTGGTAGGAGCATAACATATTTTGATTTCGTCGATTTTCATGATGGTCAATATTCCTGGGCATAAATGGGTTAAAGGGAGAGGCCAAAAACTGTAAAATCCGTTTCAAATAGCCCCACTTTACGGTACGCGACGACTGATAATGATCCAATGGAACAAACATTTCATTCATCTCAGATACTTATAAAAACAAACAGAATTATAGAGCCTATTGCAATGCTTTGAAAATCAGAAAAGCGCAGCCAACTGAACTGCTTATCGATTTTATTGATAAAGCGGGAGTGGGCATAAACCATGACAGCGCAGCATTTCCTCACCGATCCCACCAGACTCGTATACTGCGTACATTTTAGTGCAATATTTTCTCTATTACCCAATGGCTTTTGCTCAGTGCTCCTGGATTCCATAACACTCGCCTGCACCAGCTTATACAGCCTTGCGTCCATGCATCCATCAGCCTGCCACATTGCAATGAAAGGTGGCCAGCCCCATGCAACCGAGAGGGTCGGCACTGCAGGGAGTGGGCGGGTTCTCTGGGCCTTCCCGAGGCAGAGGGAGGAAGAGAGTGAGAGATGGAGAGAGGGAGTGAGGAGTAGAGGAGAGCAGAAGGTGCTCACTGCTCACGACTAACCACAGAATTGCACGGTAAATGCGCTGCTACTCCGTCACTGCCGCGTTATCACATCCGGTAAGGGGGCCGCGCTTTCAAACGGGCGAGACAGCGACCATCGGACTGGGAGCGGAACGCCTGTCGGAAGTCGAGATGGATCATAATGAAACAAGGCGTCTGGAAAGAGATCTCCTACAAATAGCATACATTGTGTAAGATTACATAGAAGAATCGAAAACTCCCGGATACACTAAGAAATGAGCGCAGAAAACTTCGCAATCTCGTCGTAAGTCGAGGATGAGTGAAAATAGAGAAGGCCACGAATCCAGTGGCCTTCAATTCCTTATTTTCTGATGCATTCTGCTCTAGACTGTTTTCCACTTCTTCAGTAGCTCTTTGACCCTTCTGAATGATGATACCCACTGCCGTTTTTCTTCTCTCGAGTCCCAGCCGCTCCACATAAAACTGACCGCTACGCCCGCGCCGGCCGGCCGTGCAGGTTGCTGATGGCTCCGAGTGGCAGAGGAGGGACGGCCACCACCCAGCACTGACCGCCACTCCGTGGCAGAGCACAGGGACGGCCACCACCCCACCGTCGCCGCCGGCGGTCAGAGTTGCGTAGCGCCCAGCTCTTGAGTGAAGTGGAGTAGCCGTCCGCCGGCGCCGCGGGCAAGGTCAGAATGGGCGGCTGGGCGCTGCCCACCCAGCGCCGCTGCTGCTCGGTTATCGTCACGGCGCACGAAATCGGGTCAGCTGACCAAAGGCCCAATGATGACAGGGAGGGACATCACGGCTCCGGGCAGAGCTCGTCTGCTCCACCATGACTGGCTGAAAACCTATTGGTTCCAGCTGGAATGTCACCTTTGATTTGGTGGTGTGATTTAGATGAAATTTGTGAAGCGCAGCGATTGGTCTGCGTCCTTGGAACGATGCAATGTCGATGATTTTAAGAACCGAACCTAATATTTCCCGCAGTTTGATGAAGATGCAACTAAATGATGATGCAAAACATAACTCCATGAATCAAAGTCAACCAGAACTCAGCAGTTCCTATGATTAATGAGATCGTGACCCTTGAAAAGTGGTAAATGGAGTGTGAAACTTTAGCATGACTTTCATAACATGCCCTTATAAGTTAGTAAGAAATAGAGCCATAGTTTTACAGATAAAAAAATCGACTCAGCAGCGCGGCGTAGTCACCCTTTCACGGGTTGGTTGACCCGCACACTGCACATCTGTGAACATTGTAAGTCAGCTATCGATGCAGTGACCGGGGATGTTCATACCTACCTTGTATTGTTTCGTCCTTTGCAGCGACACGTCTGACAATAGTCGCGATTTATAGTTCGTAGTCTTCATTTAGTGTTGGTTCCCTGCAGAATGTCCCAGGTGGGCCAACTGCTCTCTCCGCGGTTCCCTTTTGGGCCGGCTTCCTCCACTTACACTCAGCATCTACAATCTGGCGAAAACCTATTGTCTAATAACGGATTGATACTGCACATGGCTTGCAGTGAAAAGCTGGTAGAAAACGACACATTAGGCATTTCGTTTAGCAGTTGCCGAACACTTGCCATTGACGAACTGTAGACGACACGCTTCGAACTGTGACAAACAATAGCATTAGCGGTGATAATTTCGCCATTTTTGTTACATTAGTCATGCTCACTCTTGGGTTAAATGCCGTTACTAGCGCCTAAACCTTGCAAATTTGACTATTTATTGCCTGCTTTATCACTGTTGATTTCATTAGAAACAATAATTAATGTTCCGGCGCTCGGACGAGCTGTATCATTGCCTATACACAAGAACATTATACTAGGGTGATAAAACGGCGGCCGAGGATGCCTACACAAACATTGACTTATACAAATACGTAATCAATTGACCGACGTAAGTTGACATGTCATCAAGGCAAAGCAGCGAAAAAAATATACCGGAAGGATGAGCGTGGTGCAGATTCGGGTATAAAACCTTTGGAGAGTTGACATGCAGTTAAATAAGTAGGCTGAGTAGTTCATGTGGTTTTGGACCATGTGGCCCCTAAGAGTCAGCCAGAGGTGACAAACCAAAGGAACTAACAGGGTTCGTGTATCCATGTAACTCGCAGTGTTAGTGCTTTTCAGATAGCTCCCGACGCCAGTGACCAAAGGACGAAAGTCGTCTTTCCGAATCACAATTAGGACCTTTAAAGTTGTGCTGAAATACTTGATATGTAGTGATACGATAGTCTCTGTTGGGCAAAGAGGTAATTTTGACATGTTTGGTAGAAGAAGATAAGGATCTATAAAGTAGTTTTGGCAAACAATTATTGTGATCACGCAGGATACGTGGGGTACCATTTTTGCAGACAGCTCCCGCAGAAAACAGGAAGCAAAATGTAAGACAAATATCAAAGTTACACTGATGAAAATACAAAAACTTTCAATGACATAGGTTGCGCTATAGTGGTTCATAAGATTGGTGCATTTATGGGGCGTGGATTCGTTAGGCGTTAGCCATTGCTCGTTGATGACCGCGGTCGAGCCGGAGGCAAGGTCACAGTCATCCTGCACTTCTCTCGGCCACGGCGGGTCGAAAGTAGCCTCACTACCATGCCGAGTAAAAGTATAAAACGGCGCGCCGGCAGCGGTGAGGCACGGTGTCGAGCACAGTCTACCCAGCCGGCAACATGTGGAAGGTACGCGAGTGGTGCTGGACGGGCTGCTGGTGCTGGTGCTGGTGCTGGTGATGGTGCTGGTGTTGGTGACGAGCTCAGTGGGCAGTGTGTGCTGGGAGAGCGGGCTCCGGCCGGGCGCCGGCCGCCAGGTTTGGACGGACGGCCGCGGACGCTGTCGGAGATTCAGACATCGTCGAGCGATAACAAGGAATTAATAAGAATTTGGTGTTGCATATCTTTGTAAAGTAATTGCATAAATCATGATGCATATCACACGCTGCGTAATTAATGAGATACTGGTCTGATTCAAAATTAAAAGTACAAATAATGCTAACAAATTTATCTAACCTGCAGCATAATTGTTGATCACATCGCTTGTAATATTTCTTCTTTTATCTTTGATTGTTATTTAAAACAGCATAAATTTCCACTGCTCTAACTGAGATCTTCGGCTCAAAACTATTTATTTTTATTGAATTATACTTACAAATAAGCAAAAATGTTTTGATTGAATAAGCAGTAAGCATTTAATAAGCATAAAAGTGATTACTAAATTATGTTTTGAAGTAAGTGATGCAGTAATTGTCTGCTTATCACTCGCCCAAGAAGCCCATGATTCCTCCGATAAATTCACTGAATATTGAAATGGTAGTCATTGGTTGTTTTCGCTACGATGATTATTTCCGTGGCTGTGCTACATGCAAAAGTGCATTTATCGCATTGATGTTGACATGCGCATAACATGGTCGCTTTATATCAAATTTTAAGGTACGGCCCTCCAGGTATTGAGTGGTTGGTTGCCAACATCACAATAATCGGTCTGCATTGATGAATACGTCTAATGGCTGTTAAAAACCACTGCCGAAATGTGTGCACGAACCCTCTTCTCATTTCTATTGAGTCATTTTACAGGAGTGTCCCTGTCATTTAAAGTTATTACACCAAAAGTACATATAGGCTAACCAACCACTCTTTTGCCGGAGGGCCGTACCTAGATGTGACGCCGAATGCGAGAGAGTTGCATAACTTCTCAGCCCTAGTGTTTATTTTCCAAGTACAAATGATCAAAGTTGGCGAGAGGCAGGTACCTTATTGGTGAAATTAATTTTATCCGAGCCTTTGCATTTATGTAACTGAGTAAGATTACAAGGAAATGCGACATAATGCCACATTTTCCCGAAACGAAGTGCCATAAAAGTGACATCCACAGTCACCTGGGCTCGTTTTATCGCTCTGAAACTGTCGCCGGTGAGCGAGCTCTCAGAGAGCAGAGCGAGGCGTTCCGGGACCACAAACCGAGTCGTCACGCTCCGCGGTGTAAGCGAAGCGAGAACCGGCAATGGTTCACAGAGCAGCCCCATCTCGGCGCCAGCCACAGCCGTGCACGCGCCGCCATTCACTTTTATCGCATGCCCGCGTCGATGGCACGGCAGGCCGGTCCAAATGGTGCTAGTTAGACAGTCACATGGTGCAATAATAGTTGCAGAATGGTGGTGCATTATTGTGAATTTTTCAAGGTAACATTCAGCCATTTCTATTTTCTGGTATTTAATATTCAAAAAGATTAACGTATTGGTAAATTATTCACAAATATTCACGTATAAGTAATAATACTTGAAGCTGTTTACGCATTATTTCAAATGTTTGATGAACTACCCTAATTTACGGAAATAAGAGCTGCTTGCTGAACGCATCACGATGCTGATTAAGTAGCAGAAAATGTTGATTCACCCCTTCATTCTCAGGCATTCGTTCTCTGTTTGGCGATCGGCGCGCTAGCCGACGACGGCGTCATAAGCAGACGACAGGAGCTGCTCCGCAGGAGGCGCCAGCAGTACTCGGCTCCTGCTCCTCAGCCTCAGCCAAGCTACGCCCCTGCCCCAGCCCCAGCTCCTGCCCCTCAGCCTAGTTATGCCCCTGCCCCTGCTCCTCAGCCAAGCTACGCTCCCGCTCCTGAGCCCAGCTACGCTCCTGCCCCTGCCCCTCAGCCTAGCTACGCCCCTGCCCCAGCCCCTCAGCCTAGCTACGCCCCTGCCCCTGCCCCTGAGCCTAGCTACTCCCCTGCCCCTGCTCCTCAGCCTAGCTACGCTCCTGCTGCTGAGCCCAGCTATGATTCAGCTGCCTCAGTTGCTCCTGAGGCTCCTGAAGGATATGATCAGCCGGTGGAGTACAATGCCGCCGCCTACAGCGATGTAAGTACAGATAACATTCATTGTCTTGTTTGTCGATCTGCTTCCATGGTGTGCATGAAAAGCGAAAATTTGCCCAACACCGATGACCATTTGTTTGTCGTTCTAAGCAATTTGCTGCTAAAACTACTTCTCCATCTTCATTTTTATCTGTAAGAATTCCTGTATTACCAGAAACACTATGCAAGAGATTGACCGATTTCTCTTTCCTTTCAGGAGCCCGCCAAGTACGACTACCAGTGGGCGGTGAAGGACGACTACGGAAACGACTACGGCCACCAGGAGACTAGGGACGGAGACAAGGTCCAGGGCTCCTTCTACGTCCAGCTGCCGGACTCGCGCAAACAGACGGTCAACTACCGCGTGGACGGCCAGAGCGGTTTCATCGCCGACGTCCAGTATGAGGGCGAGGCGCAGTACCCGGAGACCACCGGGGCGCAGAGCTACAGCGCGGGCCCAGCCAGCGCCGGGGCCTCCAGCGCGCAGGCCAGCTACCAGCCGGCACCGCAGCCCCAGCAGCAGAGCTATGAACCCGCCCCTCAGCCCCAGCAGCAGAGCTATGAGCCTGCTCCCCAGCCCCAGCAACCGAGCTACCAGCCAGCCCCTCAGCCCCAGCAGCAGAGCTATGAACCTGCCCCTCAGCCCCAGCAGCAGAGCTATGAACCTGCCCCTCAGCCCCAGCAGAGCTACCAGCCTGCCCCTCAGCCCCAGCAGAGCTACCAGCCTGCCCCTCAGCCCCAGCAGCAGAGCTATGAACCTGCCCCGCAACCCGAGCAGCAAAGCTATGAACCTGCCCCTCAGCCCCAGCAGAGCTACCAGCCTGCCCCTCAGCCCCAGCAGCAGAGCTATGAACCTGCCCCGCAACCCGAGCAGCAAAGCTATGAACCTGCCCCTCAGCCCCAGCAGAGCTACCAGCCTGCCCCTCAGCCCCAGCAGAGCTACCAGCCTGCCCCTCAGCCCCAGCAGCAGAGTTATGAGCCTGCCCCTCAGCCCCAGCAGCAGCGTTATGAGCCAGCCCCTCAGCCCCAGCAGAGCTACCAGCCGGCCCCTCAGCCCCAGCAGCAGAGCTACCAGCCGGCCCCTCAGCCCCAGCAGCAGAAGTATGAACCTGCCCCTCAGCCCCAGCAGAGCTACCAGCCTGCCCCTCAGCCCCAGCAGCAGAGCTATGAACCTGCCCCGCAACCCGAGCAGCAAAGCTATGAACCTGCCCCTCAGCCCCAGCAGAGCTACCAGCCTGCCCCTCAGCCCCAGCAGCAAAGCTATGAACCTGCCCCTCAGCCCCAGCAGAGCTACCAGCCTGCCCCTCAGCCCCAGCAGCAGAGCTATGAACCGGCCCCTCAGCCCCAGCAGCAGAACTATGAACCTGCCCCTCAGCCCCAGCAGAGCTACCAGCCTGCCCCTCAGCCCCAGCAGCAGAGCTACCAGCCAGCTCCTCAGCCCCAGCAGCAGAGCTATGAACCGGCCCCTCAGCCCCAGCAGCAGAGCTATGAACCTGCCCCTCAACCCCAGCAGAGCTACCAGCCAGCCCCTCAGCCCCAGCAGAGCTACAACTTCCCTGAAGCCGAAACGGGATTCCAGCCACTTAGTTCTTCTTCAGGGGGCTACTCATCTCCCAAAGCTTCCTCTCTTTTGTGAGTGGCCTACAAAACTCAAGATGTATTAACAGGAACTCTTAGCAATTGAATAACAACTGATGCCATACAAATATCGGATGATGCTCTCCACTGCTGGGCTAGGAATGATGAAATGCCGAACTGTATTGAAGGCTTTGCAGAGCTGCAGGATGAAGACTGTGGACTATTTTAGTGTGGGCTGGACAGTATATAACACCTTTTGCAGCGCTTTTGTTTGCGGGTGTGCTGTAGTTCCAACATTGTATTGGTTTTTCACACCATCGGGTACCACGTTTTGTCGATCGTGTATTGCTTTATGAAGGTTATTGTTATATGTGCCTTACTCTAGTATCCACTTGTTGGATCTTTATTTCTGCTCAGTGAAACTTGCAAAAGTTTAAGGGCGCGACACATGGCGTTACCTTCATATTGAAAGTGAGTTATATTTGTCAAGAACAAACAATATTCCTAAGCCGTGTAAACGGCTATCGAACTTTATGTGACCGGCAACTTGCATGCATTTCGATCAGTTCAGTTCAATCTGTGTACCTGTTTGCTTTGCATATAACCTGTACCGTCTTTCATCGAGTTGTTGTATATTGTGGTTTCTATCAGTGTCATGTTAATACATGTTTTTTTTATACAATCGACTTTTTGTCGAGACCAAGTGATACACACTTTGCCGAAACGGAATCTTTCAGCTATTTAAAAGAAAGTTGGGCTAAGCGGCAGCAATTATAATACCGTTTTAAAGCCAAAACTCTCGGTACGGTATCAAATAAAAACAAAAACATAAACATTCTTTAGACATTCGTAACTCGCTGCCGATATTTTATAGCTCAGTAGTGCCGGGCGAGCAGTGGGTACTGCTCTGTCGTACCAGAGGGCGCCACCGTCGGAGCCGCTGCAGGGCCGTACATCGTCTCGGCAGAGAACACCGTGAGGTCGAGCTCAGGCGAACTCAGATGGCGCTGCCGGCACGGCACCGGTACGGACCAGACCATGTCGAATTGTAATTCCGGTAATTCCCACTAATCCTACAGCACTTATTGTTTAGCTTTGACACGGATTTAACCCACGAGCCGCTGGGGGGGGGGGGGGCATAAAGTTGCACCCCTTTACGTTTTGTGAAATATCTCCGAAACCTGATGAGCTACGAACGTGAAACTTGGCATAGCTTCAAATGAATACCTAGGCAATGTTTGAGGAAAGTTTGGTGGTTGTAGCACCTAAGATGACGTCACAGTGACGTCATAAAGTTTTGTCACTTTCCGATATGGACCGTTTCTGATGACGCTGAGCATGAAACACAACTGTAAATGAACTAGACAGCACCTGCTGTCATCCTAAAACATCTAACTACACTTCCATCTAGTTTCTGACCAATAATCGACCCTTTATATTCGGTCCCATATATCTGATGTATCGTGAGGAATGTGAGAGTCGCAAATCTATAATTACACTTATGACGTCACTGTGACGTCATTTCAAATGGGATCGACACCAAATTTGGACACAACCTTGGCTAGGTCTTCAGGAAGATGTGTGTGAAGTTTCGCTTCTCTATCTCTACGCGTTGCGACGATATCGTCGCAGAAGTAAAGGGGGGCAACTATATGCCCCCCCCCCCCCCCCAGCGGCCGGCGGGTGGCGCGGAGGACCAGCGGCCGCCGGGTTAAGTCGTCAAATTTAGCAGTCGAAAAATGTGATAAACGGATATCAACCTGCAAAGACGGCTCTGGGGGTCGATTGATCAATGATCAGTGCACTGATAATGATATCATCGTGAATATTGGGCTCTTAGAGGTTTGCCTACCTATACCTCAATGACTTTCCAGAGCCTTATGGATTTCAAGTTTTAATGCCTTCCAGTGCACTTAAACTTGAACATCACAAACAGTTCACCCTAACTTTCCCAAAAACAATATCGACCGCTTTTTCCGAGCCAATAAATGTAACTGAACTGCTCCCTGCATGATGCCTAACTCCTAAAGGAGGCGGGCTAATACTCCAAAAGTGTTTACCGACTGCTTTTTCTACTGTCCATATTCTCCCATAGTATAGCTCACATTCATTTTCAGAGGGCCCAACCAATTTAAAATAAAAGTCCCCTACGACCCATTCAAGATGAGGTCTAGGTAATGCGCCGGTATGAAGGGACTACCTTCAGCATTCGTATGAGAAGCGGTACCTAATCACTGCTCTATAGCTCGCTCCGTGAGGCGTTATCGCCCAGTTCACTTGTGGCCGTTGTCTTGGATGCGCGTCAGTCCTCTAACCACCACCTTAGGCGTTGTGAAGACATAATAGCCTCACAGCCAACCTTGTGACGTCCACGCACCCACCAATTACCCTGTCCTTGGGCGGCCACCGCGGCGTCCGATGGACTCTGACACGGTCTGAGGAATCTGGAGGGACTCTGATATAGTCTGAGGCGTCCGCGGACTCATCCACGGTCTAGGAAGTTCGAGGGAACTGGCTATTGTCTGAGGAGTCTGACAGTCTACATATGTCGCGGTCTTATAGAAGTTCAGTGGGACTCTGCGTAATCTGAGGAATTCGGTGGGACTCATCCGTGGTCTGAGGAGTCTGGCCAGGTAGCTCTGAGTCCTCTGAGAATGCTGGCCTGCGCACAGTGCGCAGTGCTGGTTGGAGCGACCGGCAGCCGCGGGACTAGCTGATGGGCGCTCAACTTGCTCTCTGGTTGGCTCAGCTGCTGATACGACTACCTACAGGAGCAAGCGTTTCGTGCACACTTTCTATATGCCGAGAATTTTCGATAGAGCTTTGAAATATTTAGCGTTGTTGCAATAAAAACTACATGTTTAAAGTTAATGGGAATTTATTATCGTACCAGGTCGCTTCAGTTCCTAATGAGTGTTTTTTCTGTTCATCTTAAAGCCTTTTCTATAAATCGGCGCTTACCGCATAGCATGTCGAGTCTGCAAATCAGGAGTGACCCTTCTTTTTTTATTTGTATGAAATGGCTGTGGGTGCTTTCACCTTAATCTCCCTACAATTGCCGGGAGCGGTAGGTATCCATCTGTGAATCCCATGAAAATTGATCCTCTATCAACTGAGTCACGGGATTAAAAAGGGGTACCTCCCGACATGATATGAATACGCGTAGGTAGAAATAAGCGCTTTTAAAACATTTTGTTCCCAAATGCGAGTACATTATTTATTCTCTTGAGGTATCTAGATTCTATCATAGAGCACCGCATGCCTCGGTCATTTTACATCATTCAAGTTGACATTTTCTATATTAGGTATGCAGGTGACGTAGTACGTAAGCGGTAACAGCAAGTCATCCTCCTCTCATCTCTCGTGTTCACAAGGACGTCTGTTCGCACCGTCCCTCTCAAAGTCTGGCCTTTGGGCCTTGAACATAAATCACTGGACGCGGAAGCGTCTATGGTTTGGCCCGGGGGCGGCTGGCGGGCCGCTCCCCACGCTCTCTAAGAGCGCTAATCGTTACGGGGAGGGGCCGCTGCCGGCGAAATGGACCCCGGCGGGTGGGCAGCGCTGCGGCCAGCGCTCGCCGGGCCGCTACGAGCACTGTGACCAAAGCAGTATTCGACCAGAGGTGAGGCCAGAGGATCTGTGCTTTGGCACCTCACCGAAACCTTTTGGACATGAGGGCGTTTGAAAGTACTGGTGTAGCCCGATAGGTAGTAGGTAGGGGAAGCGGGGGTAGCACCGCCATGTGGGAAACACCGCCATCCTCTCTATCGGCAAAACTCTGAATTGTAAATGTAAACACCCGCCATTTCGGTGTCCGAACGAAAACGGGACGCCGCGTGAGGTAAGTTTCGCTAAGATTTATTTGATTTTGAGATCGCAATTGCCCATTTTGTGAATTTCAAACCATCGTTGTAATCATTTGGCATGTTTGAGCAGCAAGTAAGTGGTCATTTCAAGTCAAAATGCCTTGATTTTTACGTTAAATTTGAGGGCATGAAGTGCTCTTTGTTGAGAAAGGAATTACAGAAGAATCGCGTCCCGGCTTGTTTTGCTGTCGGGGCGTTGTCGGTCCATGACTGTGAGTGGGGTAACACCGCCATGCTCGGCGGTGCTACCCCAAGGGGTGGCAAAATGGATAAAGCCGCAATGATGATTCACTCAGCTCGGAGAAGAGCTTTAGTTAGGCCGCAAACGTCGTCTGTTTTTTAACCTCACGTTTGACTTCACTGGATGTTTCGAAATAAACGTGAATTTGTCATGCTTTGTATGCATATTGTCCGCAACAAACAGTCTGATCTGTGACAAACTAACAACCAATTCTTGTGTGTCTTATATGAGTTTGAGTTACTATTTCAGACAGCAGTAACGCTTCCAAGGGTGGCTGTCACCGTAAGGCCGATTTGTGGATAACATCGCCATCAGTGGCGGTGCTACCCGCACATTTTTTGGAGGACGAAAAACGCATGACTTGTTTTCGACGTCTGTAAAGTAGCGAAATTTTATAATGGAGCGCTGGAAACTATGCCAACATGTAGGAAAACATTCCTACTTTCACATGAATGCAAAACAGCTTCGTTTTTACTACGCATATCAGCTCGGTGAGCAGAAATGCTTAAGGTGGCGGTGCTCCCCCCGGTTCCCCTACATAGAACTTAGAAGTAGCACCGAGGAAGCAAAAGGAGCCAACAGCGAGACTGACCGGGCCAAAATGGAGCAGCACAGCAGTGGTAGGGGGCTGGCTGGCGGGAATCAAGTCTAAAGCGTGTCTCTTATTTATTAGATAATAAACAAATATGAACGATTTAGTTTTTACGTTAAGTCTCGCCCCGGGCGAGGCGCCCGTATTAGTTTTTTTTTTTGCCAGCCGCGAACGTATAAGGGGGGGGGGGGAGTCCGTTGGGACCCCCTTGGCGTTTCGCCCCTGATCGAACTAGAGCTTCGTGGAATAACGAGCGTGCTGCCCGTGACGAGAGAAAGCCGATGATACCCAATTTTAAGGTCCTAGGTTATTAGTTCACCTTTCAGGTCAGGTCAATGACCCAAAAGTCGGGAAAATCGGGACCTGTTGGAACGTCGTAAAGTGTGACTGCAATGTGGTAATTCAGGGTGCTGATCACGAATAGCATAGTAGTTTTGATCACAGATGATGTCTTCATGCATTTAGGCCAGGTCGGGTCAGGTCAGGTCAGATCAACCAGAAGGGGTCCTGACGGGAATTCGTAGACGGTGTCAACCGCCTCTGGCAGCTTCGTAACATGTTACGAAGGCACCAAAACTACTGAATAAATGTTCAAATGGCTGCTATATTCGAATTCAGCTCCAAAAACTAGCCTATAAACATGTATAACTCGAAGAAGTGAACTGAGGTCATCAAAGGTCAATGACCTGACCTGACCTTCGGTTGACCTTGACACTCACCCTTATGCATGGGACCAACATCATGTCACATGTTTGAACGCTTGAAACCACGAAAAAACTGCAAACGCGCGGCTAATGCGAGCCGACATGCGCCGAATCACGATTCCGGCCAAACATGGTCTCGAAAAGTAGGTCACAGGTCAAAGGTCATTTGAGCCAGGGTCATGAATTTTTAAGGGTAGGTGTAAAATTGGTCAACTCGAGGGTTCTGAAAGTTTCGTTGCGCTCGGCGGCTTTTTACGTGAGTTATTCGCGAAAAACCAAAGGGGGTTCCGTTCGATCCCCCCCCCCCCCACACGGGCGAGGGTTAAATTATATAACCAAATAAATATGCAACTAAAATATGAATAACACGATTCTTCAAGAATAAGTTCGGCATAGATAAACGGTTATACAACAATATATTCATGCGCAAATTGCAAAGTACATTATATACCCGCCCATAGACGGCCTCATCCATCGCCCAAGTGCGTTTGGTGACTGCGATTGGACCAGCTGGTGACTTTAACGGTGCACAAGTGCCCAACCTAGCCGGCCAGCCAGTCGCTCGGCGCCCACGGCAACCGATTAGGGTCGAGTATCTGTATCGAACGGGCACTGACACAACACCCATCCATCACAGAGCCAGGTTTCCAATTCCCACCTGGCCATGAGATGCTCAGGGTCACTGCCGGCGAAAAGTAATGCATATTTATAAACTAATTGATAGCCACAGCGAGATGATTATAGCAATGAGGGGTTATCCCGGTTATCAAAAATACATTAAACCACGGCATGTCAATGGAAGCGTTTTTAAGCCTTTTCCCCTTCTTAGGTTTTTGCCGACACATTTAAAGGGAGATTATGACCTTTTTCCACAAAATCTGAGTTAGGACCATTTTCTGACAAAACACAACAAGTTATAATGTAAATTAAAACCATTTTGCTCAATTCGGTACCTTGCCGCAAATATCTCAACTTGAAGTCACGTTAGCGGGGAGCGCTGAAAATGACCGTTGAATAAGTACTTACATCACTTTTTGGTACTTGCATGTAATTTTGTAAAATGAGCGTATTCATTACATTTGATCTTCATCACAAATAGTTAGTTAATGGTCGTCTATAGTGCCTTCAAAAGATATTCATGGTTTGGGGGTGGTTTATGTCTAAATTTACGCAACTATTTTTCCTGTTCATCATCTGTCGCCATATGCTGCTATTTTAGTAGCAACGACTCAATTTTGAATCGGTCCCGCCGACCCGACTGCACAATAAAAGAAGATAGATACAACACTTTTGCGGCATCACTGAAAAACTTATGCAGTACTGTTATCAAAATTCTCATAACACCGTTCGACAAACCTGAAGTCTTTTTGAAATAAATATGATTGTATTTTTCGCTTCAGGCTCTGAGGCCAAAATAATGAATTTCGTAGTCGCAATCGCAAGATTTGGCTGCGTTTCTGGCGCATGCCGTTCATTTGTGGCGCAAAATAATACTTGGAAACAGAGAAGAGTAGGCACTATGTACCCCCGAATTAGAATCTAATTAATTCTAAACCGAATTAACTCTAATTCAAATTAGAATCCTTACAACCAAGCAACGACAAGGCGATAACATAAACAAAAACCCAAGCGTCGCTGTTTGAAACAAAAGCGCCATATACTGCGACTTTTTTATAGAGAAGGACAACGCATTTCGGTGGGTGTTACAAGTACTGCAAGTACTGCTTCTTTTTTGCAAAAATAAAAACCTTTTTCACATACGAAAATGTGCTAGGAAATTTTCATATTTTATAGAAACTACAGTAGAAATAGTATAGATGTCGAGTAATTTTTACTTAAGAAACAAGAAAGCTCATTATCTCCCTTTAAAATGGCGGCGAATAGCGCCGCCATTTTAGTACACCTTTCCATACATATTTGTCGCACATGTGCAAATTTAGTCTAGGTCACTTGAGGTCATATCATCAGGTCACTTTAACCGTCGTCTTTAGTAGTTACAATTTGATCGACACTTCTGAGTTGATGGCAATTCTGCTGTGACTCCACCTCGAGAAAAATTGGGTAACACGGAGTAAGACGCGTGCCAGAAGCAAGAAACGGTGCTTGTTCGACTGACTAGAGCCTAGGCTCTGGTCAGTCGAACAAGCTTTTATCCACTGTTTCCACGCTCAAATATTGTCCCAATAAGGAACAAGGGTCGAATCTGTCCGTCGTTTCCATCCTCAGGACAATCAAATCCTTCTCCTTCACGCCGCAACCCTCGGTCCGGGCTGGACAGGCAACCTTATCCTATGCGGGCTGCTCCCTTGGAGCGGCTCCGCTGCTCCCAAGAGCACACCCGTAGCCGGGTGCAGTGAGTACTTGGGGGGCTGGTCGGCCTGTCCTTTGGGACAGGTTCAGCCCCGGTGACTCACTACTCACTTGGGTGCCTGCCCAGACCAATGTCTCCCCTAATTCCTATCATCCTTCCGGCTCAGAGATGGTCTGGTCAGACCGAAAGGGCCTAACCCAACAAAACAAAGGAACAAGGGTCCTTGCAGAGACCCCAGTTGCCGTAATTCCCGGAATATGCCTGATCTTTTTATCCACTCAGCCTCTCCTCAAATCTCTTTATATTCATTGCCGACCAAAACGTGAAATGTTGAACCCAATATATGTAAATACTTTGTAAATAAAATAAAATAAAATAAAATAAAATAAAATAAAATAAAATAAAATAAAATAAGAAACGAATGAAAAAAGCAGAAATCATGAAAATCAGGATTATTCTAGGATGAAAGCACATACAAGATCGAAACAAGCGCATACTCTCAAGAAATCGCTCTCCTCGTGTCGGTGGAGCGTAATCAGATTAATTGCCATTTCAGATACAACACAAACACGTTCGATGCTTAGTTACAATAGTTCGAAATCAATACGTTTCAGGGCGGATACAATAGTTCCTCAACTGTGATATCCAGAAATTACCAGTATTTACTGTCGAGTCACGTCGACCACCCCCAGTATTCAGACCAATCGGCCGGAATGGAGCATCACATCAGTTCCAAGTATCCATTTCCAAGCTGCCGCGTCATCCTGAGGTGCTCGTCCTCGGGCGGGTTTGACGCTCCCAGCCCGTCACGGACGGCTGGGCTGGCGGCCGTCAGCCGGTCCTACCTCAACACCCCGGCCCGGGGGTGGCTGTGATACACCTCAGAGGGCACCCAGCCGGCGCACCTCGGCTGGGCGACCAGCCGCGGGCGACCGCGGCCCGACCTTGGCCTTGGGAGGAGTGGTATTGTCCCGCGGGTCATCGGCGCCCCGTATTTATAGCGCAGCCCGGCAGTCCATCGTCAGTGTCGTCCTCTCGTCTGCTCTGCTCTCTCGACTCAGTACTCCAGTTCGCTCAGGTGAGAATTTGGACTTCGTGAAGAAACGGGTTCCTACTTCTGCTTGTCGTAAAAAAACGAACGAACGATTTCATATATACGCGTTTTTCGGGCTTAGCCTAACCAAATAAAACACCGTTTAATTTACCCTAACGAAACTTAAGCTAACATTTTTGATCGTTTAATTGCAAGTTAGCCTAAATCTGGCTTATGCTGATATGAAGGGAATATGAAGGAGCCGTTGAAACAGAGCCAGAAAACTTCGCCACGGTTATCATGCGACCAGCTGAACTTTCCGCAGATTGGGAGACACTGCCACGGAGTTGAAGAGGCTAGTCCACGGGCGTAATTCTTTTTTCCAATTAAAGGAAGGCGCTATACGGAGTATATCCCAGTGCGTCATTGTCAAGTGACTTACAACACCTTTATCCGGCCAGCTGTTTGCGAGGTGTAGTGGTTGGTTAGCGCACTCGCCCCGTGTTCAGAGGACCGAAGGTTCGAATCCCGCCGGCGGCTGAAATTTTTGGCGCGTTGTAGGTTTGTAGGCTGTAGGTTAGGTCAAGTTAGGTTAGGTTAGGTTGTTAGTTTTTGTTTGGTTTGGTTACAAAGAAGCATCTTCAGGTACAGTGCCTACCTTTGGTTGGAAAAAAAAAGAAACACGCAGTCCATGGATGGCTCACGCCGCGCTACATTTATGAACAGGCATTGGTGACGCAGTTCTGAGTCCACGGGTCCGGCACTAACATCAAATTCGGTTGATACGTTCCGAGCATATTCCCAGGAATATTCACCGCGGACGGTAAATTTCCCGAAAATGGCCGTTCGGAGTCGTTCCTGGATGTAATAGGTGTTCTCTATGTGATGCCACAATGCGTGCGTGGTCCTCGGCATCAGTATTTCGGCACGTGGGTCGTTCACATAAATCTGAGCGAATGAGGGTGGCTGGTCTCCGTTGGCTTCGAGTGGTTCAAGTCGGTCCCGCAGTCCGCACCACATGTACACGGCACGTACCCGCCAGTGCCAGCAGGCTGTGGCACCCGTCACGGCTCACGCGCAGACATCGACGACAGGGTCAGCGCCGAGTTCAGACTTCAGATGCCTGGAAAACTGACGGAAGGTACGCGCTTCCACACCGTCGCCAGCCCAAAGATGGCGCAGCACAGGTGGCGGGGCCGGCACGGGGTCAAGGAGGACCTCCCCCACCCCACCCACCCCACAGCAGAAGGTGGCACGTTCACCCAACCACCGTAAGGCCGCACGCGCTACGCCAGCCTGCAGCCGCTCCCCTAGCATCATAGCATTAGTTTGCAGTAGAACATACAGGGTGTAACGAAATTATCCGGACATCTATTTTTTCGCCATATCTGCTCGCACAGTTTCTTGCTTAATGTGGAAGCTGGAAAATTGGATGAATGCATATTATCACAGACGGTGTCTCGGTCCAAACTGTATTCGAGCCGGCCAGGTAGCCCCCGGGTCACAGAGGCAACGCCACCACGGTTCACATACGAGTGTCATGAGCGCATGTCACGAGCGCAAGTACGCGTGCACCGGCGCGGCGGCCGCCAGCTCAGCTCCATGACACTCCTCCACCAAGAATACTTGCACAGCATGGACAAACAAATAAATATGCACCTCACAGAACAAATAACAACTGAAACAAAACGCCTACTCATAGCTCGCCACGCATCGGTCTGGGGGCCGCAGGGTGGACCGGTCTCTCAGCCGGTACCGCGGCGCGCTGGGAGAGGGTGCGGACGGCGGGACGGTGGTCACACCCGGCGCGGGCACCGCTCCGGTCAGCCCTGGCGGCGCCGGAACAGGCGGCCGGCCAGGAGCAGGCGCTCGATCAGGAGCCGGCAGCCGGTCGGGAGTGGAGGCCAGTAATTGTCCGGGAACGGGAGCATGCCGTGTAGATGCAGCGGCGCTCTCCGTGACCGGATCAGGAGCAGGTATCGGTGTCACTCTGGAACGGAGAGGATCGTTAGCGACATGCGGAACAGCTGAATATCGCTCACGAACCTGGTCGGCGTGCCGCACAATCACCCTTCCGTCATTTAGCTCCACAGTGACCTTAACTCCCTCTACGAACACTACACGACCGGGCGCCCACCGATAACGCTCCAATCCCTGCAATCTATCGACAGCAGGCACATACACAGGGTCACTCGGGTTCAGACATCGTTCACGGGCATTTCGATCACGGTACGTCTTTTGAGCCTCCTGCTGTCTCCGTATACGCTCCTGCCTATCTGGTAGCACACCATCTAAATGAGTGCGTGGCACACGACCCAGAAATAATTCGGCGGGCGTACATGAGGTCGTAGTATGCGGTGTTGTGCGGTACCTAAACAGAAATCGAGAGACCTTGGTCTCAATGGACCCCGAGATCTGTTTGTACAGCCCGTTTTTGAAGCTTTGCACGCTTCTTTAGGCTAAGCCGTTTGATTTGGGTGATAGGCTGGGTGTCGTTAAGTGCCTGATCCCATTTACACTGCAAAACGTTTTGAATTGCTGTGATACAAAACACTGGGCGTAGTCTGTCACTAGCACTGTTGGCACTTCCCAGCACGCAAACGACGCTCGTAATTTCTCAATCGTGATCAGTGAGTCGGAGGAACGAGTTGGGTAGACGTCCATCCATTTGGAGTGGGCGTCGACTATCACCAGAAACATCTATCCGTTAGCCGAGCAATAGTCTATACATGGACTCGCTGCCAGGTCGAGTCGGCCACTGCCAAGGATGCAGTGGAGCGCAGGGGCCCTGCCCTTCAGTTCCTGACACTTCACACAACACTTCACGATATCACGAATGTCGTCATCGATTTTTGGCCACCAAACATACATTTTAGCCAACATTTTGGTTCTACAATCGCCAGCATGACCTTCATGTAATAACTTTAACATGGCACCCCGTCCCTGCGGCGGGACCACCACTCGTGACCCCCACAAAACACAGCCATCCTGCACACTCAGTTCACCTATACGGGACCTGTACGGCTGAAAATCAGGGCTGAGGGAAACACTATTGACATCCGGCCAGCCATCTCTGACATATCGATGTACCGCTGACAACACGGGATCCAGAGCGGTCCACCGCTGTATCTGGGAGGCACATTCACTGGGGATGAGTCGATGAACTCAAGTAAATGGACAGTCTCAGCCGGAATTGGAACGCTCGAACAAGCCTTCTCGCACGAAGGCAGCCTGCTAAGCGCGTCACAGTGGCCTTGCTTAGATCCTCGCCGGTACTCAAGGTGGTAATCGTAGGCCCCAAGCATCAGAGCCCAGCGGACCATCCTAGGTGACGCAATCACGGGCAAAGGTTTCTGCTCTCCTATGAGGCCTATGAGAGGCTTATGATCTGACTGTATAGTGAAAGTTCGCCCCGCTAGGTAATAGTGAAATTTCTTAACGCCGGTCACTACAGCTAATGCCTCTTTATCAGTCTGTGAGTATCTAGTTTCGGTGTCATTCAACGTGCGCGAATAGTAACTAAGCCACAGGTCGCTTGCCCTGTGACGTCCGCTGGCTCAACACACAGCCAATGCCGACCGGTCCCGCGTCACAGGCGAGAACCACCGGAAGGGCGGGATCAAAATGGGCTAGTACAGGAGGGCTAACTAGCATCTCTTTGGCTTTCCGAAAAGCAGACTTCTCTGCCTCAGCACACTGCCAGGGCTGATCTGCCTTTAGAAGACGATAGAGCGGAGCCAAGACACTCGCCAGGTTCTCAAGGAATTTCCCATAGTAGTTGATTACTAGCCACTTACGCAGTTCCTTAGCATCCCGCGGTTCCGGGGCACGGACAATCGTGGCCGTTTTCTCGTCGGTGGTCTCCACACCACGGCTGCTTATCTTAAGCCCCAGATAGGTCACGCTGCTGACGCCGAAGCTACACTTGGCCTTGTTGACCCTAAAACCCGCTTCCTCCAGCCGTCTAAGAACCTGCCGGAGGGCCTCGTCATGCGCAGCGGCATCGACACCCGCAACTACAATGTCGTCCAAGAAGACCCCAACGCCAGATATACCAGCCGGGACAGTTTCCAGCGTCCGCTGGAACAGCGACACTGCACTCGAATAGGCGAAGGTCAACCGAAGGGGCCGAAGAAGACCCCTCGGGGTGTTTACCGTGAGATACTCGCGGGCCTTTTCATTTAGCGGAAGCTGATTATACGCGTTTTTCAAGTCGATCTTTGAAAATATGGTACATCCCGAGAGTTTTGAGCACAGTTCCTCCACACGCGGCAAGGCATACTGCTCTGCCTTAGCAGCCCTGTTGACGGTCAAGCGGTAGTCCCCACACACCCGTATTGACTGACCCCCAGCCTTGGGGACAACCACCAAGGGAGCCACCCATTTGCTGTGCCGTACCTGTTCCCAGAGTCCGCCACGGATCTGGTCCTCCAGCTCGGCGTCCACAGCTTCCCTAAAGGCCAGCGGTACGGTGCGAGGCTTGAAGGAACGAGGCTGGACGTCCGGGTCTACGTCGATGCCGACTTCCCCGCCTCGATAGCAGCCCAGCTCCTCCTTGAAGACGTCAGCGAACTCGTCCAGGATGGGCTGCACACGGGTCTCCGCAGTCACTCAACAGATGGAGGGCCAGTCGAGCCTGATGTGTCCCAGCCAGTTCCTGCCGAACAGCCAGGGCCCGCCACCTTCGACTACGATGAGAGGGAGTCGCTGAGCCTGTCCGCCGTACTGAACGTTCACTGCAGCCTGCCCCATGACTGGCAGCTGCTCACCGCTGTAGGTCTTCAGCTTCACCGAACACGGTTCCAGCTTCGGCCCTCCACAGGGCCAGAGCTGCCGAAACCCGGCGTCAGAGCAGACCGACAGAGTCGGTCCAGCTCCATCTCGACCTTCTGACCGTCGAGCGCTACCGGCACCATCAGCGGCGGTCGCCTGACACTGAGGCCGGTCCGGACGGTGAAAATGCTGTACACCTCCTCACCGGTCCCGGGACTAGAACTCCTCGGTTGCGTAGTGCCGTCCTCTCTGCTACCCTCCTGCGCGTCCGACCCTTGTAACGCGTCGCCATCAGCCGAGACATGGCGGAGGTGCTGCTGGTTCTTCCTGCAGGCAGCTCGGACGTGACCCCTGAGGCCACAGCTGTAGCACACCTTATCGATGAACGAGCACGTGTCCGGCTGATGATACCTCAGGCACCTGAAACAGCTCGCCGCCGTGCTGTCACCTGGCCCGGGCGTCGTCCTGTCACGCTGAGAGCGCAGCCGACCACCAGCTCTGGAGTCTGCTGCGCCGCCACCGCCGTCCCTGTAGCCGGCAGGAGCGCGGGCAGCACCGGCACCCCTGGAACTGCTACGCAGCCGCAGCGGACCCCGGGCACCAGTCAGCCGATGAACGGAGGCTCCATCTGCTCGCTGCTCAGCACCGCCGCTGAGCTCAGCCGCACTCGCTGCCGCCGACTCGTGTGCCTGGGCCAGCTGCTCCGCCGACTGGAGCGTCAGCCCCGGCTCACTGAGAAGCAAGGTTGCAGCAACTCGTTCCGTATGCCACAGACCAAACGGTCACGCAGCATTTCATTAAGGACATTAGATGCGAACGAACAGTCTTTAGCCAGCTTACGAAGCCGCGCTAGAAAATTAGCAACTGTCTCACCGCCATTCCTGAAGCACGAATGAAACCGGAATCTGGCCACTATTTCAGATTTATCCGGCTCGAAGTGACTTTGCAAAACGCTGACCAGCTGAACGTATGTTTTCTCACTTACAGTGGCTGGAGCAATAAGATCTTCCAGCAGACCGAACGTTTTTGCGCCGATCGCACAAAGCAGCACGGCCCGCTTCTTTGCTTCTTGATCACTCCCGATATCTTGCGCCACAAAGTACTGATTTAACCGCCGCGTATAAGCACCGAAGCACTCAACGTCCGCATCGAACTCGGGCGCCCTGCCCGCCATCGCCGCGTATTCGAGCCGGCCAGGTAGCCCCCGGGTCACAGCTCGGCAACGCCACCACGGTTCACATACGAGTGCCCCCAGCACGGATGTCACGAACGCAAGTACGCGTGCACCGGCGCGGCGGCCGCCAGCTAAGCTCCATGAGACATATCTCTGGTATCTGCTCTCAACTCAGCAGTGACCTGACCTTGCGAAATGACTCTTGCTCTGAGTAAGAGTCGAGTCGCCAACGGTTTCATTTGATAGTTTTCGTTCAAGGAAGTGGAGAGAAGGGAGTAGGGGAGAGTGGGGCACATTCGTGCATGGGGCACATTCGTTTTCAGCAGTTTATTGGAATACGAGTGACTGCACGAGCTCAAGGTAAATTATGGAAATGTGTCTATCATTGCCGCCCTTCGTTCACCGTAGAAGACAACACTGTACCTGCTGCTATGCTTGATAAAAACGCAAATTTGTAATATTCGTGAGCTTTCCAAACTTTTCTCATATCATCCATTTTCGTGATCCTGACTCGGAAATGTGGTTCAGCATTTCAAAATTGGGGGCGAAGGTGCTCACTCTATTCACGGAACTGCTGCAAACTTGTTTGTTGACAAAGTGTCATTTTTTCAACAAGAAATTTTGAAATATATTACAAATAACGTTGTGGGGCAGGTTCGTGTACGCACTGCCTGGGGGCACATTCGTGCATATTTTTTTTAGTTTTTGCTATTTATGACTTTATCTATAGTAGGTTTCACTAATGACGCTCGCCTGACTCAGTCTCGGCTGCTTGCGACGTCGTGACGAGTAATTCACGCGAACTTGGCGAGGTCACGGAGGCCGGCAGTTGGCACATTCTTGTTGGCCAGCCCATTCTTTCTACATATGTTGTGCAATGCATTCTTGTCGAAAGGAATCAAGTGAAATGACCCCCTGCCAATTTCCTTTGGTAAATTTCTGGTAATGCCCGGTAATTTCTAGAACTTTGCAGGGTGCACGGAAGTGCCCCACCCCTTGCACGAATGTGCCCCATAGGTGGGGCAGTTTCGTGCAAACGTTCTGAGTTATTAACCCTATTAGTGGCAGGCTCCTGGCTACCCCATATTAGTGGCAGGGGGGGGGGGGGGCTGTTTACGACCCCCCCTTGATATCTCGAGATCTAACCGGCCGATTTTCAAAATTCAAACGGCATTCGATTTGGCTCAACGAGATCTACATTTCTTAAAAAATAAAATTAAAAAATGTCAATAGGGGGGTAGAGGGGGGTAAAACGGGCAAATTGCAGATACATTTTAGACTGTTTATCACGGCCAGGTTTCTGAACCAATCTTAACGCAACTTTTGCCGATCGATAGAGAATGAACCAGGAATTCACATGGATCCTAAAAATATGCATTTTCAAAAATCATAGGCGGATACAGATCATTGAGATTGGGGGTACACAAAAAGTATAGTAAATAAGTTTTTTGTTGGTACTGTTTCTAAAAAGGGTTGCAATGGTCTTGTTATGTTACAATTTTCTTATGAGAGAACGACTAAAATAGTATTGGTCATGCATAGGCGGTGTCAGGGCACCTATGTTGGGAGGTAAAAAATAACCCCCCTTTTTGGACGCCTGGATCCGCCTATTATAGCAAAAACGTGTCAAAAGAGGATGCACAATAACTTTGTATATGTTATCACATGATACCTTTCATTCACTGTTCGTAAAACTGGTGCAGCATCGTGATCTTCGCCCAAATGACTCGCTTCACGAATAGGACCCCCCAATTCCCAGTGCTCTGGAGCCGCCCCTGGTAAAGTTATGAACTTGAAATTTTCAGGGAATGTGCCCAATTTAGTTTTAGGAAAAGTCAGAAGATTTCAGCATCGTAGCTTCAGCGGTTTCGGAGATATTCCCGAAAAACCTGAGGGGTGGATAAAAACAACCCCCCCCCCTGCCACTAATAGGGTTAAAAGTCATTTTTTCTAATAGAAGCAATAATTTTAGAGGATAACTTTTAAAGAGGAAAAATATCTGCAATAGTTCCTTTCCATACCACAATCAACAATTTTGCCGTTGCACTAACCAAAGTACAGATATATGGATTTATCCATTTTTTGCACGAATGTGCCCCACTCTCCCCTACAGTCTCTCGTTTCGTAGTAAGGCTAAGTGTTGGTGGCATGGTGGCATGAGCCAGGAGCTGGTCTGTCAGCAGCTGGACATCAGCAGCAGCCAGTAGCACATCTGCCTGAGGCGTAACAGACTGGGACTTGGTGGCAGACTCAGTCCGGCCTCGATCGCAAAAGGCGCCCTTTGCCAAGTGGTGAGAAGAGTTGTCAAGATAGCGACAGGGAAACGCAAACAGACTCGAATTCTTACCAAGGCAGATAATAAGAGGTCCCACATCATGATTCACCATTACCCGCCCTTTAGCTTGGTTTTACTGCCCTTCAAACTGAAAAAGACAATGAAATTGACTGGAAAACAACCAGTCCACCACCTTTGGACTCAGGCCAGGGCGTGTCCACTGGTCGAAGGAAGAGATGAATGAGGTGGCCTGGTCGGATGGGAAGCCGTTCGAGCTGCGATATCCGTTGAGCCGTCAAATTGACTATGGCTGCCAGCAGCTCGAACGGCGTCGCCCGGCGTCAAACATCCGGCCAAAATCTAGACCTGAAGCATGTGCAGCTGCTGTGTAATATTCAAGCTGTTCATGACGCCACAGAAACCCACTATCAGTGATAAGTATTACCGGCGCAACATCCTGGCTAGCGATTGGTTAGAGTCACTCAACCAGGCTGCACAGGTGGGCTCAGTTTCTGAACGTGTACTGATGCCTGATTCAAGCCGCGCAGTTTTCATGCGGGGCGGCGCACCACCATGAAGTCCCTAGCAGAATGATAAGTGATGCCGAGAGGACCTATTTTTCTATTCAGCTTCACTGAGGGGGCCAGCGGCATCTATCCATACTCGTCAGCGGAGGCCCCTGGAACTGATGCCCTGAGAGGCGCTAGTGGATCTGAGGAGGCCCCAATATCCACACTGGTCTGGGGAGGCCCCTGACACTGGCGGTCTGAGAGGCCCGTCTGGCGTCTATCCACACTAGTCAGAGGAGGTCCCTGAGACTGGGAGGCCCCTCAATCCACACTAGTCAGAATTGGCCCCTGGACATTGGTGGTCTGGGATCCCCCTACCCTCACTAGTCAGAAGAGGCCCCTCTATCCTCAATAGTCAGAAGAGGCCTCTGAGACTGATGGTCAGAGAGGTCCTAGTGAATCTGAGGAGGCCCCTCTATCCACACTGTCCTAGGGAGGCCCCGAGACTGATGGTCTGAGAGACCCTTTTATTTATACTAGCCACAGCTGCATAGGAGCCCCCTGAGATAAATGGTCTGAGAGACTCTTCTATTTATACTAACCTAAGGCGCCCCTGGGATTGATGGTCTAACAGGCCCTTATATTTATACTGGCTGGAAGAAGGCCAATGAGACTGATGGTCTGAGAGGCCCTTCTATTCACACTGGCCAGAGGAGGCAATTGAGACTGGTGGTTTGAGAGGACCTACTATTCATAAAAGGCAGAGGAGGCCCATGAACTTAAGGGTCTGAGAGCCCCTCCTATTCATACTAACCAAGAGACGACCCTGAAATTAATAATCTGCGAGGCTCTTCTATTCATACCAGCCAGAGAAAGCCCCTAGGATTGATGATCTAAGAGGCCCTTCTATCTATAGTTGCCAAAGGAGGCCCCTGAGACTGACGGTGGCCAGAAATGGCCTTTGAGACTGATGGTCTGAGAGGCCCTTCTATTCAAACTAGGCATGGGAGGCCCCTGAGAATAATAGTCCGAAGTCTCAGATACCTCCTCTGACTAGTGTGGACTGTGGATAGACGGGCCTCTCAGACCCTCAGAGGCCGGTATCCCTCAGAGGCCGGTATGGGATATTAGAGCTCAGTGAGAGCTTGTGTGGTGCCTTCAGTGGCCTTGTGGAGCCGTTAGTGTTCTCTGGCGCCGGTGTGTCCTCACTCCTCAGTCACCGGTGTGGGGCATTTAGAGCTCAGAGATACTGGTGTGGGGCCCTCAGAGGTGTCGGTGTGGGTCCTTCAGATGAACCTATAGAGCCTTGAGAGTTGAAATGCACACGTGTGTGGGCCCCAGAGGCGCCGGTGTGGGGCCCTCAGAGCCACCGATATAGGGCCTTGAAGGAAATGGTTCATTTTCCTGAAGTTTGTATTTTACTACAGATTAGTGATTTTCATGATCATAATTATCAGAAAATAAAATAAAACCTTTTTTGTATGAAGGATTATTTTCCATATTTTAATCTAGGAAGAACTATATTCTATATAAAATTATGTTTATCGCGGAACCTTACAACGCGTTGACCAATCATATTGTGTAGTTCAAACCTACCCATGCTGATTGGCTGACGATGAGGTGACTGCATTCCTCTGCAAGGCGCGCATTCCTCTGAAAGGCACTCTTTTTGGAATGAGAAATGGAATATCTTCGTCTAGGGTGATTGTTGAGCCGTAAAAGCCAAAAAGAGCCAATCATCTTTGTGCTAGTCTCAGCTCAAGCTACAAAGTACAAAACTGCTATTCCAGTTAAAAAAAAACATGTTAAAAGTGAACTATTTCCTTTAAGAGACACTGGTAGGTATGACCTTCA